TGGTAAATGCAACCAAGTGAACAGCGGTGGTCAAGTGAGTAAGACAAAGGGAAAAAATACACAGCAAGGGAAAAAAGCAGGAGTTAAATAAAGGATGTAAACAAGAGGATAGGGTGGGGGAGGTAAAAAAAAGGAGTAGGAGGGGGAGACAAGGGAGGTATAGAGAGCAAGTAGTAAAATCCAGGTCTATTAGAGAAAAAAGGGAGGGTGAAGAGTGCCTGCCAGGGTCTTGACTAGGGAAACCAGACTAATAATCACCCAGGAATCCCCCACTGGTGGAGGGGAGAGGATGGGAGGAAGAAATGTTAAAAGCAGGTTTGGATTGGAGAAAGGTGGAGAAGGAGGAGATCAAAAATGTCAGAACCGGGGAAGCAAACATGTTAACTGGGTGTTGCTTTCATGTAACCCCTGTAAATAACTGAGCTGAGGACATCTGAATGTTCAAAAATGAGTTGGATAAACGAGCGTTTTATTCAGATATTTGCGAGCACACTGAGGTGAGTGAGCTGCAGATTGTAAAGTACACAGTTCTACACCGGAGCAGCAGGTTCTGGACCATATTTGATGGTGCTGATTGGATCTGTGAAAGTCTAAGCGGGTCATGAAAGGTTGATAGAAAAAGAATCTTGACTCACAAAAAAAGTCAGAAGTTGAGATTTTAACACAAGTTCTGCAAAAATCAGAAAACTATAACCAGCTGCTTTGTCGCTGTCAAGTATACAAACGTTTCAGGAAGATGTTTTGAAATGACTTCATAAAGTCTGAAATTTCTTTATTCAACAGAAACAGCAAGTGCTAAGTCCCTGTCACTCTATAACACAGGGCTGTTCAACTAGCAGCACAAGGGCGCCTAAAGAAGTAATTACATAAAAAAATACTAATATGGGAAATGTTTTTTTTTATTATTTGACCTAATTTAATAAAAAATACATTTAAAATTGATTGTAAGTTAAAAATGTATGATTCAATTCAACAAAATAAACATTTGCATACTGCATACTATCGTCAGTGGGCAACACCCCCCTGCAAAGGCTCCTCCCCGCTGTGGAAGCTGGATGTGTGTTTCCACTCATGAGTAATAAATTAATAATTCATCTGTAACAACCGATGCATAAAAAATCTGTAGCATACCTGTAACATGTTTCACTTAGCAGCTTCATGTCAGTATAAGCTGAAAATGTTGAGCATGAACAAAATTATTGGCTGGCCATCATGCTGATGTTCAAAACTGACACAAAACTTAAGCAACTTACACCAGCATTTTGAACAAAATTTTTATGTTGGTACAAGTTGTATAAAACTTTATAATGTGACAGGGCCTTTAGTCATTTATAAAAAAAAATACTCACAGCACTGTTTGGAAACAAATGTCTCTATGGTCCTCTTTTTTGTGTACGGTGGTGTAACGTTGAAACAAAGATGATCGTTTTCTAAACTATGGTTTTTATTTAGAAGATGACAAAACCAGGAAGTCAGCCTGAAACTCCTAAATACACAGAATACGTTGACCAAAGGGTTTAAACTAATGATATCATGCAGGCAACTGGTGACTACATCAGAAAGTAAAGATCCAGAAGCATAAATGGCTTCAGAAGAGCAGCTAACTGACATTTTTATTTAGTATGGTAAGAAAGAAAAACATTCAAAAACATATAAAGAAAGCACAACTTGAAGATGAAACACCTCAACTCTCGGATGGCACAAGTCATGTTGACTCTAATCCAGCCAGCTTTCACATAAAGCTGTGAAGGTCTCCTTCAAGGACAATAGAGGATGTGTAATAACAGCCATGAAGCCTCAACAATGTCATGTCCAGACTTACTACATTGCTTAGTTAATGCCCTGTCAATCAAACAGAGATGATTCTGAAGGCCCAACCACTGTGATTGATGCTTCAATTAACAACCCGCTCTGACCTCCAGAATTGTTCATTTGAAATTGTAATTAAGCAATTAGGGGCAATTAAGAAACAGAGGCTACTAAATGAAAGTTAGAAGACAATTTAAGAGAGAGAGAGAGAGAGACAGAAGTAAAGAGAGAGAGCAAGTGTCCAAATTAAACCTCTTAGAGAAAAATAAAAGCCCCGTCTTGCTGCCGAAACTCCAGCGAACTCTCAACTTGTGGTGAACTTGCAGCGACGGCAAACAGTTTAGTGTAAAAACCTAGAAGGTCAAACGAATGAATTTTGTCAGACAAGTACTTATCTGCTGCATATTAATTAGAGCCGGGTGCGGGAGAGCAGCGGGGGCCATAA